TTTTGTCTTGTGATCAAAGAAAAATTGATGACAAGGGGCTACGTGGCCTTTTCATGTCCAAGGGAAAGAAGGAAAAAAGTAATAAGGGCGACGTGGCCAAAACGTGGCAGACTCTTGGCCAAACACATAAAGTAACCTTCTCTCTGAATTTGTTCATCTTCAAAAGAATCTTATGCAGAGAAATAGAAAGCTTATGCAGGCTAACATCTGATGAACATATTCATGAATCTTTCAAGAACTGAATATAGAAGAATTAGAGTAGAAAAATGAATAATCTTGCTTCTCTTGGAGTTTCTGTTTTCGGTAGAGATGTAGCCCTTATTCCGGTGAAGATTAACCCGAAAAAATTTCCGACCCTTCCTCTAGTGCCAAACTGTTGATATGCGATTTTTTATCAACATGAGGGTTTAGAATATTGTGTTTGTATTAAATATCTGGAAATTTTGTATGATTTGCTTTTGAATTTTTATGTTAGAATTGATGAAGAAATTGAAGGAAAAAAAAAAAGAGCATCCCCTCTCTCCGGGAAAGAAAAACGAAGAATCATAATAATAGCCCCTCAGACTTATCCGTCTGACGTCCATCATTGGGGTATATATATATTTTTGGTGGGCCCGATATTATTACAAGCGTTGTTATTTGTGGGCCCTAATTTATATAATACATATCCACGTGTAATATTTTAATAGGCGAGGCCAAAATTGGGTATTAACAACTACAAGTCAATTTCATTTTAGTTTTGCATTTTATTGTTACCGAAAATGTAGGTTCAGTATCGACTTGGCTTGTTGGTGATGCTAACCCTACAAATGAGTCCAAGGAGTACAAGCTCCATCAAAGAGACAACCACACACACAAAACAAAACCCAATTCCATAAAGAAGACTAGAACTCCATACGGAGATTGGAAGCCAGACGGAGATGGACTTAACGGAAAAAAATAAAGAAAGATAAAATCAACTCACACCTAATAAACAAAGTAGCATAATACCTCCCCTAAACCTAACATTTGAGCCCTGACGACCATCTAAGTAGACAACCGAAGCACACGCAGAACAAAGAAAGTCAACCGAACAACAAAACTAACATCAGACTCGAAAACTACAGCCACTCAACTGCAAAACTACAGCTACTCAACTGCCTAGACAGATTTTCGGCCTAGATTTGGACTCCGAAGGACTTCAATGCCGATGGAGGAAAGGGGATCCGCGAAGAATATATTGGAGGGCCTAAGGAAAAGATCCGAGGAGGCACCACCCTCGGCAGCACCCAGCCGAGCTGCCCGGCCGGGCCCGACGGACCGGCGCTGATGGGAAACATACTGCCATGGGTGGTTGCAACAGAGCAAGGACCTCTAAGGTGATGAACATGGTGCACACGACCGGCCTCCGTCAAATTGGCGGACTCCTGCAGCTGGTGCTAGAAGCGGCACCGGCGACCCTTCCGGAGCCGAGGGAGTGTTGGAACCCACGAGGATCTCGATATGCACAAATCACGGACAAACATTCAACATAAACCTATGCGCAGCGGATCTAAAGGTTTGATGAAGAAAACTTACTGCTTAAAATTTATGTAGATCTGGCTGGCCCGGACAGTTGACCGCAAATCAAATCTTCTCGGAATCGAACAAACTTGACCAATCCAGAAAGCTGACGTCACGGCGAAGTCAACAGCGTTGACCGATCGGAAATCAGACCTCTCACGCTCTCTCACGCGCCGGTGCAAGCTCTAGCGACTGGTTCCTCCTGGTGGCGCGTGTGGGCGCGTGCGGCGGCCTCCGGCGGCG